ACTCTGAAGTGCTCAAAGCATTAGGCGAACAGCGCATTTGTTAGCTTATATGTGTCTGTCAAGCAGTAGTGGCTGCTGGGATGGCACAAACTGATTGGAGAACGAGGAAAGGTTGTAATACTCCCTGAAAGACAATGGGGAGTGCTTCAATTATCGGAACATTTCCTCATTCAGTCTCCCTGGTAAAGAATATGCAAAGATTCTAGAAGGGGGATGCCAGTGAATAACTAGTTCTAAAGTACAAGAAGAGCAGTCTGGTCAGTGTTGCTTCATGCCTAGCCGAAGCAATACTCTGACCAGTTCTTCGCCTCAAGACTGAGTGTTGAAAAATCGTGAGAGTTCGCTCATCCGGTTAACATTTGCATTGTAGACTCGGAGAAAACCTGTGATCGAATCTAGCGAACAACGTATGGGCATGCATGAAAACATATTGCATCGATGGCCAGTTGTTAAAGGCCATCAGATCACTATATGCTGATAAAAGGCGCTGCATCAGAGGAACTGGCGTTATGTCGGGATCTTTCAGGGTTCTCAACGGGCTCCTCCAAAGTTGCAATCTGTCCCCTCTCCTTTTTGTGTTCTACAGGGATAAGGGCAGTTAAGCGCCGCGGGGCAACAAATACGTCAGCTTAGGAAAAATGGCGACGAGAAAATCCCTTGGTCGCAGATGACGTTGTTTTGCTACCATGTAGTGAAACTGATCTCCTGCGCTCCTTGACTAGGGGGTTCTCTACCGAGCGCGACGTGACTGACATGCGTTTGTAAAAAAGTACGAAAATCTTAGTGCTTTCTCGTTCTCCTGCCCGTTGCTCTCTTCAGATTTACGAAGAGGCAGTGGATGTGGTGGAGAAGCTGAAGTACCTTGGAATTGTATTTACTAGTGATGGAAAATTGGAGGAAGAGATCGATCGGCGAATTGGGGTAGTCAGTGGCGTTCTGCGTGAATTAGCCCGACCCATTGTGACTAAAGCAGAGCTCAGTCTGAAAACTAAGCTCTAAACTAAACTAAGCTCAATATTCAAGTCGAACTTCATCTCTAGACTCACCTATGGTCATGAATCGCGGGCTGTGGCTGAAAACTGATTTTAGGTACATGCATCTGAAATGCGTTGAGCTTTCAGAGGCGAATCTCTGTGCTCACGCGTTCAGCTGCGATGGCATGTCATCTCTTACGAATATGTCTACAAAGGAAGGAGAAACAGCCACTACTTACTACTTACCGACCGATCGATCACTCATGGTCCAGCTAACAAATCACCTGAAAAGACTATTGTCCGTCGAAGTTCAAACTCTGGCGCAGGATCGGGAACATTGTAAACGTGAATGACGTGTCTGCTTCCGTGTCCGAAAGAATAGGCGGTCATTAAAACTGACTGTCTGACGTCTAATTAATTCGTTCATTTTCAAAGGCTGCCATTTTTTCGGTTCATGGGGCAGCTGCTTCATGAGACTTTCCAGTGGGTCCGCTCGACAGC